TTTTTTTTTTTTAAATGGCGTAGCTTTTATAACGGTGTATAAGTCCCATTAGCTAGCATTAACACAATACATAGACCTGCTTGTTGACATGAGTAAATTATTACCAAGCGAGTTTTTTCATGGATTGATTTGGTGTTCCCTTAAAAGGCACACCATGCACTTATGTTCTTTTCCACTTAGCAGCCATCTTGATAACATCCCTGGGTAGTTGTTTTGTAGTTATACATGAGCTTCTTTCTACTTTACTCAGGATAGTCTGTTAAGCTTACTTTTTAATAACATGTCAAATAGCCAATAAAATCTGACAAAAAATTAGGCCTTTCCTACAGTTGAGTTTAAGTTATTTTAAGGATTTTTTTCCCCCTTCCCTTATTTAATTTTTCTTTTTTATATTGTCCCTGGTGTAGCTCAATAACGTTTAATTTAACCTAGCTTCCTTAAAACTGTTGCTATGAAGGTTTTAAAGCAAAATCACTTTCAGTCCTGTTTAATCAATTTCATCATCCTTCACTTTTGATCTTATGAGGAAACTGCTCAAAATGCCATTTATTATGGTAAATTAAGTTACTGTGTTTAATTTAAGGCTATGGAGCTGCTGGTGGAGAAGGCCATCAGCAGTGCCTCTGGACCAATGAGCCCTGGAGATGCTCTTCGAAGAGGCTTTGAATGTATTTCCTCAGGCATTCTGCTGTCTGGTAAGATGCAGCACTCTGATAATGTCTTAAGACACGTTTTATGGGAATTGCATTGATTCTTAGGTCTGTGTAGGCATGTAGTAATGTACATTAGTAATCTAGCTTTTACACTGGTGTGAATTACTAAGAGTTCTTTTAATTTACTATCATCTTGGGAATCTAGATGCTCAGTTTAACACTCACTGGCTTCTGTGCTTTTCTGTGCAATGCAGGTGCTCCAGGATTGATAGACCCCTGTGAGAAGAATCCAACAGATACACTGGCTACCATGGAAGAACAGCAGAGAGAGGACATTACATCAAGCGCTCAGGTAATGGACACCGTAACTGCTTTAAGAATGTGTTAATGTGACTTAATGTCTTGCAGTGACTGTATTTAAAATTATTTCAAACTCTTTTCGATAATTGTGTAATTATGCATGCTGTTTTTATGGCCTCATGTTAATCGAGCGTATTTTTAATTTGTGTATTGACCGGCCACTTTCTCCACAGTTTGCCTTGAGGCTGCTGGCGTTCCGTCAGATTCACAAGGTTCTGGGTATGGACCCCTTGCCCCAGATGAACTCGCGCTTCAACGTACGGAATAACCGCAAGAGGCGACGTGACAACAGCGACGGGACCGATGGATTTGAAGCTGAAGGGAAGAAAGACAAGAAGGACTACGAGGGGTTCTGAAGTGCACTACAGTACAACTAGCCCTGCTCTCCCTGCGCCCATTATAAATCCTGTTCATTCCAGGAATACGAAATGTTGTTTCTTTTGACCTCTGTGCATGCTGATTACTACTCTTTAAGTTCTGTTTTTAAGATCTGCTAAAGGCCTAAAGATGGCCACTTAGGGAAATGCCGGGCTTCATTTCCTTGACACATAGACTGTAGTCCATCTCTGTTGTTTAGTCTGGTGTCTTGGTTTAAAGATTTGAGATGCGCACAAACCTGAAAAGTTAAGCCTAAAGTTCATGCTGCATTCAGCACATTGGATGTAATCTTTCACCATCTTCAGATCTCTTACGAGTTTCAGGCTAGGCATTTATAAAAGTCTGAGCTGCGTACTTGTCAGTGTGGAACAGATTCTTTCTTCAAGTATATCTTATCCTTCCAGTCACACATGTAAAGTAACTTGGACAATGGCTTTCTTGGCTTTGCAATAAATTGTTTAGGTGTTTTTGTAACTTCTGTTTAGAGACATTCCTCTTAAAAAACCACAAGATCGAAGATAAAATGATTGATTTTTGCGACGCATTTGTCCTGTTGTGATGAATGTGACGTTGACTGGACGTGGATTTATACAAGCATGTATTTTCCATTGCTAGTGCATTCTGAAGGCTGGGGTGGCTTTTAACCATTTGTAAATGTACGTCGATGAAACCTCTTTAGAACCTTGTTCCTTCTATATGCTTAATGCAAGTGATGTAAGGCTGCACTTGTCCCAAAGTTAGGCTGTAAGTGTGCTCCGATATTCACAGGCCTCTGTGGTTTAGCTGTATCACGTTTCTGAAGACACTTGACTATTGAAATCAGACCTGGGCTGTATACCATAAGTATCTATCAGTTGTCTCCGTATGTTTAATAGGCAATCTTGAGCTGCCAGTCCATTTCGGAGTTGGGAGATTGTGGACTAAGCACTACACTTTTTTTTTTTTTTTTTTTCTCTTCTTCTTTAGAAATTGTAATTGACCCAGGTCTGCCTGTGTTTTGTGTTCATAATATTGTAAACCCTAAATGTATCTTTAAATGTGATCATATAACTATGATCTCTAATATATGATCATTTACTAAGCCTGTATCTAATCTTGCAATAGATCTTCAGAAACAAATGCCTGTATGGTTTTAAAGCACAGGAATGTTGTTTATGTTCTTTGTTTTTAATGGATTTTGTTTTACTGGTTTATAGATGCATAGTTGCTTGCCCTAATTTTGGTTTCTGATTCGAGGTTGTTGAATATCCATTGAAGAAGATGGGAGGGACACAAGTGAAATATCTGTGTTGTAACTGCAGATTGATGTAGACTTACCCTTTGATGCTTGTCATTCAATGTCAAGGTACTACTGCATTACAATGCGTATAATAAAGACATTTCCAGAAAGATGTTATTAGTTTTCTTTTTTTTTTAAAAATACTTTACATTTATTTCAGTTATACCTAATATAGAGTCATATTTAACTTGGAGATTTAGTTTTGTTTAATGCGATCAAAGAGCTTTGATAATTCACCGATTAAGAATTCAGGTCCAGTTATTTGTGCATGTTACTTCTAGATTGTCTCACAAGTGTTTGATTGTCTTTTCTATTGTTTATGCTAATAAGGAAATACTTTAGTCTGTGCACAAATAAGGAAATCGCAAGACGTGCAACCATAAAGCAAAGAAAAAAAACTTCCAAGTGCAGTTGTAGTCCGTAGCTATATAAACACAAGCCCCTTCTCACTTCAGGGCGTAGGCTATTTTAATACGACTGCTTATGGGTTCGGCAATGAGGAAGAGCTTGTGATTGACAGCCGCGTCAACCAATGAGCGATAAGCGACTTGCGCTGACCAGCTCAGAAAATGGACCGTTTGTCCAAAAAGAACCAATGACGTAGAATGGGCGCGGTTTTCTGTCAGAGCAGGTTTGTCTTCCAACCAAAGCAAATCGCGCTTTAGAAAGAGAGGTGGAGGGAGAGGAAAGTTGGGCAGCTCGAGCTCTCCTGGATTTCCACCTGACTGCTCGGGAAGCGGGACACTGGGACAGGCAAAATGTTGAGTTTGGGGAGCGGAGGAGCGAAGTCTACTAAACCGTCGTTTGTGTCTTATGTTACACCGGAGGTAAGCGAAAGCTTTCGTGCAGCATTATACTTGTGTTGTTTTCAAAATAACCCAGAGACGCTGAATTGAACTAAAAGAATAGTTTAAACCGCGGATAGTCATGCACTGGGCGGGGTTAGCAAGTCCCTTGTTGATGTTGTCGACTAGTTCAAGTTTAGACAAACAGGGAAATCTCAGTTTTGTGTGCGTTTCATGGGGAAAATGCATTCAAAGAGCAACAGTGATTTTTCATTCACTTAAGTTACACCTCGAAATTGAAAGTCTTCGGTTTGACGAGGGAAATATAAGTTAGTTTTCTAGACTTGCCAGAAGTCCTCAACTTTACAAGGTAGTCTTCTTGGATAGAGGTTGTAATCCAGGTTATTGAATGATTTTTCTGTTTATTGACACGAGTCACGAGTGTCTTCCTTGCCTCTGACATGTGATGTGTTTGAAGTCCATTCATCGTTATGCCTTAAACTTTTAACTTACATCTAGTGTTGATACATGTGCGCGCTCGCGCATAGATGTCATGGGTTGTGTCATGACCCACTGATGGACAATAGAGTTCATGTTCTTATTGTTCATTAAAGAAAGCATGATGTAAAGAATGGTTGTACTCAATATAGAAGCAACATGAAGATGTAAACCACTGCTTTCCATTTTATTCAAGAGATTAGTGGATAAAAACATTACAAGACCAAAAAAAAAATGTTTAAAACCTGCACGATTTTCCTTATACTGTGGAGCACAAAATGAGAAGTTAGTTCATTTTGTGTAACGTTAGCTCTAAACAGTAGAGCATGATGCTTGCAACGCCAAGGTCATGGGTTCGATTCCTAGGGAATGCATGAGCCGGAAGCATCTGCCAAATACGTAATGTAAGTGTTTTAGGCAGAATGACAGTTTCAGTCGCTTTTCAATTTCATTGTATTAAAAAAAATGCAGTGAAAATGAGTGATGATTGAGGCTGCCTAACATCTCCGCCAAGAAAGGAAGTTATGCCGGGTTGGAACAACATGGGGGTGAGTAAATTCTGATGAGCTATCCTGTCAAATAAACACAGGAAGATCTGTCATTGAATATGAACTACTTGGACTAGTCCAAAACGTTAGTCTAATTTTTTCTTCAGGAACTTTTTCCAAGTCAATTTTCATAAGTTGGTCAAGCCAGTTCTTAAAGGGGGCATAACACACACACAGTTTCACCCAATCTCATCAGACATTTGATGCCGTTTCACTTACCGTCTGCAGTTCTGAATCATGACCGGGATCTTTTATAGCTGGGACTGCTCCATTTGTAGTATAAAACGATGTGCAAATCCAGCATTGAACTGGGCCTTGTTTATAAAACTTTCCTCAACAAACACACTTGTGAAACTCCGTTGCTGCCCCGGAAAAACAAACTGTATCCACCGTTTACATAATGCTGGGTTCTATAGGAAGCTGAACAAAGTTATCTTTCCCTTACAACCAAAAACACACTTTGTATTGGAGACATTCTTCCCGAGCGAGTCTCGTGCAGCGCTGCCACAGGATGAAGCGCGTTGATGGGCGCGATCTCACTCTAGCTCAGGGGTGTCAAACTCAATTCCTGGAGGGGGTTTGATCTTTGGCTGACCAATCAGCAGAAAGGGGCGTTTAATTCCCACGTGTAGAAATCGAATATTCAAGCCGTTTATTAATTTTTCCACCCAAGAACGAAAAACGAAAATTTAAGATGAATTTTCGTTTTTTGGAGAAAAAAAACGAAAAAGGAGCCGTTTTCTCATTTTTCTACTTTCAATATTAAATCAAAAAACGAATGATCGAATGATACACGGATTTGTCTTAGTCGGCTGATTTTGTTCAATTTTGTTTCAGTTCTCATTATATTACTTGTATATTACACTAAAATAAAATGTTACTAAATCAAATGTTAAAGGGATCGTCTACCAAAAAATGGGAAAAAAGTCATTTACCTATCTGATGTCATTCCAAACCTGTATGGCTTTTTTTTCCTCATCTGTAAAATATAAAAGAGGATATTTTTTGTCCATACAGTCAGTGGATGTCACTGGACTACTGCCTTTCCTTTTGCATTTAAATCTTTATTACAAGCAATCCTGCGGTTCATAAAAAACTTTTTCCTATGTTCCTATGCCTTGTTTATCTAAAAGTGCTCTTTCCCTTTAAACCTAGCCAAAAAGCCATATGTGTTGACTGTGAAACACATTTATTGTTTAATGTGTGAATTATTAAATGTGTGAAACACATTTACATTGCATTTATGGTGTAATTACTACAGTTTCGTGTCAATCCGGTGCGGAAATTATCTTCTGCACTGCTGCAGACGCACCGCTCGTGGAGCGCACTGCTGGACCGCAACCGTGCGCAGTGTGCACGCTTTGTTAATCCGTTAACCTGAGCGCGGAAAAAATGCGCACTGCAAACGGAGTAATGCGAACCTGGCATTATGTGTGTGCACTGCGAGTGTGCACCAGGAGAGCGCGCGGGCGCTGAATGGTTAAACACTGGCAAGAATTAAAAAGAAATGCAATTTATAAACTTTAGTGACACTGCCTCGATTGTGCAAGTGACAATTCCTGTGTCAACTGTGCAGCGTGCAGCTCGCTTATAGATAGATGCGATGTGTGGTGATTTGAAGCCGTTTGCGTATTTTGATAGATAAAGAGAGCTCGCGCGGTGATTCACTCACGCTGTTTGTGAAATTACGTCTCACACAAGGTTTTCAAATTACTTTATAAGTTATTTAATGAAGAAATATGAAGGTGAGTACCTCACCTTCAGCATTATATTTATTTTACCTGCGCCGGACTGAGACGATGCTGCTGCATGTCGTGCCAAACTTCTCACGGCAGCGTCATCAACTTGAGATCGGTTTTTTGAGATCGACCTTTTTAGAGACCGCTGATCAAACATCCCAACGTGATTATCGGCCGATAGTGATCGGTAGCCGATCAATCGGAGCACCCCTACTGTTTAGTTACCACCATTCTTTAAAATATC